TTTTAGTTGTCCAGATAGTTTCTTTCTATTTTTAGTAGAGACGGGGTCTCGCTCTTGCTCAGGCTGGTCTCAAACTCCTGACCTTAAGCAATCCACCCGCCTCAACCTCCCAGAGTGCTAGGATTACAGGCGTGAGCCACCGCGCCCAGCCAATAATTAGCTTTTAAACTTTTATTTTTCACTATTAAGTATCCTCATACACCTATTACAGCCTTTTCGAAGGAACAATTTCACAGATCTCCTCCGTTGTGTTATAAGGAATACAGTAAGAAGGAATAATATTTGGCTTCTCCAATACCAAATCTGTATAAGTCAGAGTTCTCCAGAGAGACAGAACCAATAGGATATGTATACAGCTATATGAGAGATTTATTAGGGGAATTGGCTCACATAACTATGGTGGCTCAGAAGTTCCAAGACAGGCTGTCTGCAAGCTGGAGTCCATGGGCTGCCAGGAGTATGGCAGTCCAAAGGCCTCAGAACCAAGGAAGCTGAACCAGCTTTCAATCTAAGGCCAAAAGCCTCAGGAGTCTGGGGGCCGATAGTGTAAGTCCTGCAGTCTAAAGGCTGGCAAGCCTGGAGTTCTGATGTCCAAGGCAGAAAAAGAAAAGTCTGTCCCAGCTCTGAGAGAGAACCCATTTGTAGTCTGTATTTCTTCTCTCCTGGCACCGGGCAGATTGGATGGTAGCCAGCAACAATGAGAGCAGATCTTCCCCACCTAGTCCTCTCAGACTCATACACTAATCTCCTCTGGAAACTTCTTCACAGACAAACCCAAAATAATGCTTTACAAGGTTTCTAGTTATTCCTTAATCCAGTCAAGTTGACCCCTAAAATTAAATCCACGAGTCCATCCCCTGTGAACTTGGCACCCACAGTCATCTCCTTAAACCATACTTAATTTTCAAATAAATACAAGAAAAAGGTAATGGTTCCACCTAACATGATGCAGCTATCCTGCATGCAACCGAAAATCCTTTCCCTAGAATTTGGCTTTCAGGATTGTTATTTGGGGGATTTTAGATGTTAGGGATTTTTAGAATTTAGAGATTTTGGTCATTTGGGATTTCAACATTCATAATTATAGCATTAGGGATTGTGTCTTTTGGAATTATGATTGGCACTAGTAGAATTTAGACACTAATAATTCTAGAGGCAAAGTCTCCAAAAATTTAATCTCAGGAACCTACTAGAGAATATATATTCCATCAAAATCAAGAAGAAACCCAAGGAAGATGCATGGAAACTAGTAAAGAAGGGATTTAATATAGGAGAAAAACTAAGAGAATCCCCAGAATGTTGATGAAGCAAAGTCACAATAACAAATGTATAGAAGGCCTACAAGACAACAAATCCAGATAGGAATGTGACAAAGGATCCAAGATAGTTAGTTGGAGGTGAAGGGTGGGGAAGGGGAGGGAAGAATAGATAAATTATCTTAAAGGTTTGAAAGTAGAGAGATTTAACAAAGGCATTCAAAGATGTGGGAAATTTAGCCTCAGGCTAAAAGAAAACTAAGCAAATGAAAAAAATGAGATTATTTATTAACTCTAGGAAAAATTAAATGTTCTATAAGAAACACAATACAGTCATAGATATTGGCTTAACAAACAGTATTTACACAGTCATACTTATGAAAACACCAAATATGGATTTTTTTAAAGTATGATATAACTATATTAGGAAGATAGAGGTGTGGAGGAAAAGGTACAGGGCTATAAGAGAAAGAAGGAAGAAAAACCTATAACCACGGGTGAAATCAGTTGTAGGAATCAAGCACATTCTAATTTCTAATAAGGCTTTCTCCAATCTCCAATACCAATTAGATGTGATTAAGAGCAGCCAACCTGACAGTTAAATCCCAATTCAGGAAGTACCTTCTTTCTGAGTTTCTTGATACCTGATCAGGTAGTAATCACATCCTCCAAGAATCTTCAAGCTCTGGCTTAGTAGGAATTTTATCCTGTTAGCTGCTCAGCTGAAACAGGACTGGGAAATAGTCACAATACTGACAGACGCGTAATCAGAAAGGACACTAAGACAGAATCCATTTAGGCTTGAACTCCAATTCACAAACCAACCAGTCTCCTATCATACCCTGCTCAACTGAATTTCAACTCCAATTAACTTTAAGAAACTACTGAAGCTTATACAAAACTCTGGACATATATTATGTCATTTAATAAGGAACCGGAATAGGAGATTCAAAGCATTCTCTCAAATTCATTCATTTTGCATTATGTGCTGAGCATCTCCTATATGCCAGTTAATGCTCTTGGGTAAAACAGCACTGACAGAGAGCAACCTGGGCCTTACAAAACCAAAAGGTCTTACAATGCAAAAGAATAAAACAAACAAACAAAAATACATGTTAAACTCATCCAAGAAATGCAGAAATGCTTTAGCAAAAATTATTAACTATTTTCAGTGATAAGAAAATATAGAAGTGATAAAATAAGAGCAGAGCAAGAATAATTTTACAACAGACAATTAAAATTATTTAGAAAGCAGTAAGTTGCAACAATAGATAATGTGATGGAAAACTTTATGGAACACCTAACAAAAAATGAGGAAAAAATTA